AGTTTGAGTAATTGGTATTTTATTTGAACTTGTGCTGGCCCAAGACAATGAAATTACAATACTTTCTGTTTTGAAAGTTGAAGTTTGGTAAATATTTGAGTCCTTTAGATTTTACTAGCCTGAAGGGATTATTTTTTTTAATACACTGAAAGTAATTTCATTATTCAGTCACTGATTTTTTTGAGAAGAATAAATGCAGAAAGCAAAATAAAAATTAGAGGAAAGCAGTCAAATAGCAGTGAGTGCGTGTGCATGATGGAATATTGTATTTATTGCTAGGAAATGTAAATTTCTAGTTGTGACAGGTTATTGAAAATACCCATATTATTTGCCTGGAGAACTCAGAAATGTAGACTTCAGAGTTTCAGTTGCCATCATTAATAGAAAGTGAACACTAATTGCATTTTTTCGTTTTCACAATCTCATAAAAAAAAGCACAAACAAAAGCAGCAATGATTTTCCAAAGTCCCCAGAGCCGGCTGACATAAAAAAAAAAAAACCTCTGGAATGTATTTATTCCTAGTTACAAGGCCTAGTTACAAATTGACATATTTTACTTATCTTTTTTAAAACCAAAGAATTAGAAAAAATCATATTCCTCCCATTTTGAGGGAGCAGCTGTGGATTAGTGGAGGATTCTTGCTATGGTTAACATCAGGTTAGAAGTTTAAAAATAATACTTTGATGAAAGAGGAGAGGAATTCAACATGTTTTTATGGAAAATAGCGTATTTACTGCGTAGGTCATCAGAATTAGTGAACTTTAAAAGACAATGACTTTGTAATTTAGAGTATCATAACACATCTGATTGCTGCTCTTCTATTTTGAAAATAAAAGGAAGTTGGATCGTCTGGAGAAGAAAAAGAAAAAGAAAGACAGAAAGAAGAAAAAGCAGCAAAAGAAAAAAAGCAAAAGTAAACACAAGAAACATAAGATGAGATCCTCTTCCTCATCCTCCAGCGAGACTTCAGTAGGCAGCAGTGATAGCGAGACTGACAGCAGAGATAAAGCAGCACAAAAGAAGATGTATTCTAAGAAAAGAAAAAAAGACAAGTTTTCAGAGGCTAGCAGCAGCAGCGATTCAGAAGGAAAAGCAAAGACTAGGAAGGAAAAACTTTATGAAGATCTCTCCAGTAGTCACGGTAACAAGGACAAAGATAGGGAGAAGTACAGACTTTTAAAGCCAGATAGTTCTGCAGAGAACAACAAATGGAGCTCCTGTGAGGGGGAAAGAAAGTCCAAAAGCAGATACCATAGTACCAGCAAGAGAGAGACTGAAAGAAAGGAGAGGGACAGTAGAAGCCAAAGCGTGGATGAGGGGAGCAGGAGAAGTCCTTGCCCAAGTCACAGCAGTTCCAGGCAAAGGCAAATACGAAAAAGTCCAAGTCAAAGCCCTGGGGAAGAGCGGCACAGGAGAAACGAAACCAGAAGCCCCAGCACAGATGTGCACAGAGAGAAGAAAAAATACAGAGCGAGCTATGAGGACAAGTGCAGTAAAGTAGAACACAGAGAGAGGAGCAGACGCAGTAGAAGCAGAGAGAGGAAAAAAAATAGATAGTGTAGGGGACAGGTGCAAACAAGAATGTCTCCGTTTTTTGATGAATACCTTTAACAAGGGCTCAATTATGTATTGCTGTTCATTTTCCAGCCTCTGTAACTAGCATTTCCTACATAAAGCCAACAGCATCATTTCTATAATGTTGGAATATTTGTAAATTAGGTATAAATGTTATGGTATTTTTCTTACTGTATAAATATACTTGTTGGCAAATACCTCTTGTATACATGCAGTAATTCATAGACCTGATTTTAGGGTTTTAAAATATTTCAGAGCAGTATGTGATATTCTTGGTTGTGTCAATGATGATTTCTGTTTAGATGCAACTGTGAGGGGAAGCAGAGAATAATTTGGGAGGAGACCTGGCATATGGTAAATGATAACAAACATTTGAGAGAGTTCTGGATGAAATCACTGCTTCAGATACCAAAATATTGTATTGGAGATAGTAGATGTTTTTTTTTCCACACTGAAACATTTTTCCTGAAGTTCCCTGTAAGAGATCAATTTTTATGAGTTAAAACAACAGAGAGACATAGTTCACATAAGTGTGTAGCCAACATTTTTTGACCTCCTGCAGCGTACAGCTTGGTCAGGGCTATCTAAACATCTTGAACCCCTGTTGGTATGTGTCAGTACAATGTCAAGTTATTGTTCAATAATCTCTCAAGACATGAAAAGAATATTTACTGCCTCAACTGTTTCAGGTATTTCATTGTTTGTGGTAGAAAGTTAATGTAAATAGTCATCCTTTTGTTTTCATGAAACAAGCTTTTTTTTTTTTTTTTTAAATGCTTGTCAGTCATTTTCTGCACACATTGTTATGAACTTCCATAATAAAATACCTTATTCTTTAAAAACAGTAAGAATGGCCGCCTTCTGCAGTGTTCTGAGTCAGTACGAATGCACAAAGCAGCACTTTGCCAGGTTTCTGTGGCAAAGGAAATGTTTCTCTGCGGTTTCGAGGTGGCAGGTGGAAGTCCCTTAGTGAGGGGACAGGTGAGAAGGCGTCACCATGCTCAGTACTCTGGCAAGCAACTTTCTCCCCCTCCTTGCTCACAGGACAAGTGGGACTGTGGCTTATTACCAGTCCACTTCTGAGGCTTATTACCAGTCCACTTCTGAGAACGGTCACTCGGAAGGTTTTGGGTATCACACAGTGGTGGAAGTGACCTGGCTTATCTTTTTAGTGTCTGTGAATGAGACTGAAAGGGTGAGCCGTTAAGGGACGTCACCCTCTTCTTTTAAATATGTTTGCATTAGTTGCTCCCGGTGTTCCTGCTGAAGGAGTTGGGAGTTTAAGGCCCTGCACAGGTCAGTGGGGTCAGGCCCTGTGTCCATGTGCACGCTCGGGTTTGGGAAGAGTAGGAGGGGGCTGCCAAAACACCCCTGTGAGCAATCTAAACAAAACCTCTTGTGAGGGATTTATTGTCCCTCGGCGTAGGAGAGGACAGAGTGCCATGATAGGGGAAAAGGCATATCCTGGCAGACGGTTTTCACGCTAGGTGTAGCAGGGAAGGTAGGAGGAATAACCACTGAGTACTGGAAGGTGCCTCTACGCCAAAGAAGGGTCTCCCTCGCAGGCCCGACGGTTGTGTGTGGGGCTCCCAGGTCTGCCCACTGCGGTGCCACGGCCTTCCACCCGCAGAGGGAAGGACAGCTCGAGATCCACACTTCCAGGTGTTTCTGTGGGCTCTGCATTTCAGTCGTTAGCAGGTAGTTAAAGCACACACCGTGTTACACCTCGCCTGTTCGCAGAGGAAGAGGCTGGCAGGGAGCGCGAGTTTACCGTGAGGGATGGTCACTGGGGGCGAAAACTAAACCAGGTGGCACTTCAGGTGTCCCTGTCTCAAAGAGCTACCTGTTGAAGAGCTGTGGAACAAAACGTTCGCCCTTTGCTGCTTTCCGTGCGGCCCCGAGAGCCGTGAGGCGAGTCGGCGCGGCTCCGGAGGAGGAGGCCGGCCGCCGCGTGCCTGCCTTAGGCCGCGTTGTGCCGGTGCCAGGAGCGGCCCGTCGCCCCGGCAAGGCGGCAGCGGGAAGGGACGGGCCTCCCCCGCCGCCGGCGGTGGGCTCAGAGCCCGGTTGGGAGGAGAAGGGTGCGTGTCGCCGGGGCGGCGTTTCTGCGGCGGGACCCTGCCCGGAGCCCCGGGACGGCGCTGCCCCGGCCCTCGTCGCGGCGGCTGGGCAGAGCGCGGCGGGGCCCTGTAGGAGGTGCTGTCGGTTCACAGATAACGGTGAGAGCGTCTCTCTTTTTTTAATTATTTTTTTTTCCCCCCTTTTGACACTGAATAAGGTTAACCTTCTGCCGCACGGCGGGGCTGGGCGGCCGGGGACGGCCGCGCCGTGAGGCGGCTCCCTCAGCCCGGCGGGGAGGGACGGGGCCCGGCGGCCCAGCCCTCTGAGGGGACGGAGCGGGAGAAGCCAGGGCCGGCGGCTCTACCGGCCGCTCTCCGGTGGGCTGGGTGGAGGGCTCGGCCCGGCGGCTGAGGGCCCGGGGCGGCGGGGCTGGGCGGGCTCCTGGCCCCGTCGAGCGGCCCTCGGGGCTTCGCCGGGCGGCGGAGGGGCTCCATCCCC